AAAAAAAAAAAAAAAAAAAAAAAAAGCACTTTCCAAGTTGCAGCACAAGTTAATGACAAGAAGGTTGGTATCTAAGAATTATTCCTGGAAGATCCAGTATGCTCAAATTATTCTGAGGCATTCAAGAGGCTTTCAGCAAGATATACAAATTTAGCAAGAAAGAAAGGAGCCAAAATGGTCTACCACCACGGGCTCCAGCCAACTCTGGAGAAACAATCAAAGTAGCAGGAAACTCCGATAAGTAGGATGAGAAAAAACCCTGGAAGAGTAGGTTCTGTCTGGAACAAGTGTTGGAAGGAAGTGGTGGCTTCAGTCTGAGACAGAAGGTAGTGAAAGGCAGGAGTCAGAAGACAGACTGGAGGAAGGTTTTATTTATAATTATTCAGACCAATATAAGGGTACATATAATTAGGTTACACTGTTTGTATTTGTTAGGTCAAGTCCAAGTTGTAGTTGAGCCCTTCACCTGGGAGATGTGCCATGGAGCCCTACATTGTGAGCCTGGGAGCTCACCACACTCCACCCCATAGAGAGAAAGTTTTTAAATTCGGCCCTTGCTTCTCCCCTATCATTCCTTGCAACTTCACTGCCCAAATCACCAGGTGTCCTGAGGACAATACCAGGTCAGTAGTTGTGACCTTCTAGTATGGGAAACAAGCAGATATACTTACAGGCCTCAAACCTTCACTTTTCTTCCCTTGCCCCTTCAGACCCTCAGGACTGATGAATAATAACCTCAAGAGTCTGAAGGCATTCAAGAGGCTCTCAGCAAGATATATAAATTTAGCAAGAAAGAAAGGAGCCAGAATGGTCTACTACCATCAGCTCCAGCCAACTCTGGAGAAACAATCAAAGTGGCCTCAAGTATCTTTTCCTGGCACTGTTTTTCCTGAAGAGTTTAACAGTGAAACCCAATAGAGGCAGGAGCAGGGAGAACCAAAAGTAATTCTCTAGTCCAGACTCCTCTCTTTAAATTCCCAAGATTTATATTTATTGGAGGATGATGTTCAACCTTCCCCAGTAGGTATCATCAGAGCAGCTGCCAAGTCAACTAGACTTCAGAGGGTATAACTAGTGTAAGAGAAAGACACTCAGCTGACAACATGCAGCATGTGATGCAAAGTTACTGAAAAGGTTAACTCAGGAACTCAAAAGAAGCACAGTACATACACATAAGGAGATAAGAGGAGACATGAGCAATTAAGAAGTAAGAGCAAAAACATAAGAACCAAATAAAAATAATAGATATTAAAAATATAATGGCTGACCTAAAAGACATGTATAAGGGATTGAAGAAGGATAGATTCAGCAGATGAAGGACCAGTAAGCTGGGAAGTCTGTAGCAGTCCATATAGCCTATGGCTAGGAGGAGTGAGAGTTATAGGAAATACCTGTAATGGAACACCTTGGTGAAAAGAGCATGGAGAGAGATTTGGTTTTAACAAGCATGAGAGAGCTCGCGAGATGAGAGCATTGGTGAATTGGCAGTCTCTACACCTGTGGTGCTGAGAAACACGAGCTCAGCCTTATATTAGGCTGGAGGAGAAGGCAGTCGGGAGCATGCGCATTCTATCACGGACACGCTTACTCTGACTCTGTCTCCTCTCCTGCCTGCAGAACGCCATCCAGCACGGCGTCTCTCTGCTGAAGATTACCAAGCTCTGCCAAAGACTAAGAGCTATCTGTTCTAAGAAGACCTTTACTTTCTCTAAGATACTCTGTCTCTTTCTCTCCATCTAAAGTAGATAGCCCTCAAGCACCTACGAGAAACTGTTCCTGAGCAAGGTAGCTTAGTGGTCCGCATCCAGAACCTACCTAAGCTGGGCCTGAGACCTGGCCAGTCCTGAGCCCTGACAGAAGTCAACTGAGAAACACCCCTGGAGAAATACAGAAGAGGCAAAGCATAGAAAACATGAAACAAGAAGCTAAGAGATCATGAAGGACAGAAATGCCAGCTTCTGAATAACGGGAGTCCTAGAAAGATAGAAAAACTAAAATGAAAAGAGGGAAATACATGAAGAAATAATGCATACAGATTTCCAGAATTAAGAAATGAAGGAAAAGCATAAGTTCAAAGAGTAACCAATAATAACACAGACTAAAATCCTCCACAAGCAACATGATCTGACTGGGGCAGGGGGAGGAGAAAGAAGAGGAGACAGCAGGAGAGACAGAAAAGATGTGAGCATATCGAAATGATCATCTTGTTAGATGAAGATACAAATACTTGTAACCTTAAGAAATCAATAAGGATAAAGATGAACAAATCAATAAGGTTAAATACATATGGTTCATGGGTTAAAGGCATTTAAGGTAATAACAAAAATAGAATATTTAACCTTTCAACTAGAAAAACAAAATTTGATCTAGCCCCCAGAAAGAAAAATATACAAAAAGAACATAGTCTAAATTATTTTAAAATAGGAAATAAAATAGCAGAAAAATTCCTAATTAGAACAAGAATTACAATGTTTGTAAATGGGTTAAAGAAGCTTATTAAAAGATACTGACTGTGGCTCCATGCACAGCTCAGTGGTTAGGGCGCCAGCCACATACACCTGGGCTGGCAGGTTCAAATCCAGCCCAGGCCTGCTAAAAAAAAAACAAACAAAAAAAAAACAATGACAACTACAACAACTACAAAAACAACTACAACAACAAATAGCCAGGCATTGTGGCAGGCGCCTATAGTCCCAGCTACTTGGGAGGCTGAGGCAAGAGAATTAAGCCCAAGAGTTTGAGGTTGCTGTGAGCTGTGATGTCACAGCATTCTACCAAGGGCAACATAGTGAGACTCTGTCTCAAAAAAAAAAAAGATATTGACTAAGAAATTAAAAAACAAAAGCTTGGAAAGAAGTATGGAGAATCCTCAAAGAACACAAAATAGACCTTCCATTTGATCCCACAATCCCACTACTAGGCATCTACCCAAAAGAAAAGAAATCATTGTATCATAAGAACATTTGCACTAGATCATTTATCATAGCTCAATTTACAATCACCAAAATGTGGAATCAACCTAAATGCCCATCAACCCATTAATTAATAAGCTGTGGTATATGTATACCATGGAATACTGTTCAGCCATAAAAAAAAAGATGGAGACTTTACATCTTTTATATTAGCCTAGATTGAGTTGAAACACATTCTTCTTAGTAAAGTATCACAAGAAAGGAAAAGCAAGTATCCAGTGTGCTCAATTCTAATATGAAGCCAGCAGTCGAACTACTACATACCCACACAAGAGAAAAATTCAACTCAATACAAGTCAGGGGGGCGGGAGGAGATGGGTGTGCTCCCACCTAATGGGCACCATGTAAGGGTACATGGCACACCTCCTGGGTGTGGGACACACACGACAGGGACTTTACCTAACAAATGCAAACATTGTAAGCAAATCATTTGTACTCTGATATCAATCTGAAATTTTTTTAATCAAAATATAATAATAATATAATAATGTAATATAGATATAAACTTATAAAAGATTAAAAATAAAAGGATGGAAAAATATACCAAGCAACTATGAACCAAAAGAATGCTGTAATAACAATACTAATATCTACCAAAATTTAATATTGTGTGTTAACAGAAATAGAGCACACCCCCAGATAGGAGTGTGTGTATATGTGTACACAGTATAAGTACATACACATGAACATATACGTATAGAAGGAAGAAAAATCAAATTATGTATTTATCAAAGTATATATTTAGAAAGTGACAAAATAAGAGTTAAATCAAATATAAGACTTAAAAACTTAAAGAATGATGTGAATTTAGGATATGTCAACGAGGAAAAAAAAAAAAAGACCAATTGTTTTTTTAAAAGTTTTCTAAAAAGGATCAGCACCTGTAGCTCAGTGGCTAGGGCACCAGCCACATACACCAGAGCTGGCGGGTTCGAACCCAGCCTGGGCCTGCCAAAAAACAATGACAACTGCAAAAAAAATAGCTGGGTGTCATGGCAGGCGCCTGTAGTCCCAGCTACTCGGGAGGTGGAGGCAAGAGAATCCTTGAGCTCAAGAGTTTGAGGTTGCTGTGAGCTGTGACAGCACAGCCCTCTACAGAGGATGACACAGTGAGACTCTGCCTCAAAAAAATAAATAAATAAATAATAAAAGACTAAAAATATTAGTTGTATAAAGAACATGTATCATTTTTCACAAGCAAATTAATTTTACAATATAATGACCAAATCAACCTAACAATCTCTATCTTTCTTCTTGACGTATTGTTAATAACCGAAACAATTAATGGACATAGATTATATAATCTATATTACAGCTGACAACAGTATACAAGGATGAACCAAGAACGTATAAGCAAAAATGAAATGACTAACAAATATGAGACTAGCTCATGTAACAGTCACATATTTCCTAGTTTGTAAGTTTTCTGCAGATTGACATGGTTTTACTACCCCCATAGGCTACCAATTCCTGATTGAATGGGGACTGTAATTAGTTATAACCATTATGTATAACCAAAATGGAAAGTGCTTCAAAATTATGAAGCACTCTTTTAACCAAGGTCCTACAGAATTGTGCAAGTCAATTTCCTAATATTTTCTTGGGTGTCTTAAATACAGTATGAAAATAGAGAAACTCTAGGTGACATTTCTTCTTTTTTATTGTATATATGTATGAGGTACAATGTGATATTTGGATATATGTATACATTGTGGGACGATTAAGTCAGGAAATTAACATATCCATCACCTCATATGCTTATATCTCCATGGTAAGAACGTTTAAAATATACTCTCAAATTTCAAGTACACAGCATGTTACTAACTATAGTCCCCATGCAGTACGATAGATCTCCAGAACCTTTTCCTCCAATCTAATTTTAGCTGGTATTTCTAACAATGGACACCAGTCACCTAACCACATAGGCTTCTTTGCAATATAACCATTGTAATGCCAATTCTTTTTTATTTGGAATCTTTACTGATTATTGGCTTATAGAAGCAAAGGCACTAATGACATTTCCTTTAATTATTAAAGTAATGCAATAAAGTTTCCTTCTTCTCTTTTAACATGTACTTTTGCAATTAAAAAATAGCTAAACTCACATTTTCCATTGTAATATCATTTGAAGCATTCATCAGATTCACACTTTTGTCAACAGCTACAATCCCAACTATCGAGCCAGGCTGTGTCACAGAGATCCTAAGAGAGACTTTCTCAGCTGGTCTGGCATTAGCGTTACTCCAAAATAGCTTTATCTAAAAAAGAGAGAGAAGGCAGCATTGACTTAGTTCATGTTTTCAAAGCATTGTTATTTACATGTCTTACCGATAGTAGATCAATGACTCAAAATCTAGCAAAGAATCTCCATCTGCCTTTGTTCAGGGATAATTTTAAAACCATATATAACCCTTCTCTAGAGAAAGAAATTAAAAAACTACTCCCACAGTGTTTGCAAGTCGTGAAACTTCTCACAGTGACGTAAATTTGAATTATGCTTCCTTTCTCTACCTCTCCTCTTCCCTTCCTCCACTCCCACCCCTCCTCCCCCAGCCTGTGCTGGAGAAGACAGCAGTGTCTTAGAATCCAAGGGGGCAGCAGCAAAGAAGAAAGAAACTGCAGACGCCTGCATTCTGGCTGCATGGACTCAGGAGGGCATGCAAGGAGAGCTCCCTGGGGGACTCACGGGGCTACCTGGAGGGCTCTCCCCAAGGAAGAAGATGGCCAGACCAAAGACAGGTCAGGCCTCCATGGCTACCTGAACTCCCTCCGCCTTACATCAAAGCACAGTCCTGCTACTACTTCAGGAAGAGTATCGATCATCTCCTTTACTTTGTCATCAGGGCCCTTCTTGCCTTTATTTCACTAGCTGCACCTCGACACTCCACGGCATGACCAAGAGGTCCTTCGTGCTCCCCTCAATTCCACTGAACTTCTGCCAGGCTTCTTCCTGACCATAAGATCCTGACCTACCTTTTCTTACAGTATTTACTTAAGAAAACTTGCAATTGTAAATTTTTTCCTGCACCTCAAAGATATAAATCTCCCAACCTCAGACAGTCTTACAACCCAGGAATGTTCTCAAGAGCCGGGGGAGCCATCCCTTTGAAATGTAATCCTCAGGATAGATAGAGCCCCAAATGATGCCCATCTCTGGGGGAGGGTGGGACTGTGACCTCAGTAAGCACCAATGAGCGAGCACAGAAGCCAAATCTCAAGGACCGACCTCTCCACCACATCTCCAGTCCTTTCTCATAACTCATCTCAGGGCTCAAAACCCCTCATGCCTCTTGTTTCAGCACCACTGAATTCAATCTCTCTGTCCTATTGCAACAGTCTTGAACAAAGTCTTCCTTGCCCATTTAACTTGTCTGGTACAATTTTCTTCTGACACACCTCTGAAACCACTGCCTGTAGTTAACTTTCTCTGCCTGTACCCGAAATGTGGCAGGGGCTGAAGTTTCGCTTTAAACGTCATTACCTTAAATCTTACCTTGTTTTTAAAAACAAGCTGAACAGTAATTTGTAGAACAGCATTTATAATTTCCCCATTGTCTTCAACATAATACACAATTATACAGGCTTTGGGAGCCCAAGAATTTTCTGGTGTCAAAGAGAAGGTTGTCGAATTTTGTTTGCCTACAGCTACCAACTGTCTCTTGGATACTACCTGAAAAGAATAGTAGGTGGGTTACATTTCGCTAAAACCAACAGGATCTCAACTGAAGCTAAGTGTATCATAATTTTCAGTGTACACACAAATTACGGACTTAAACCAACTTCAAAGTCTTTTTGAAAACAGGAAAACCTTTTGACAAACACAGAGATTACAGAAAATGCGAAGATTAAAGTGACACTGTCAGAACAACAGTGGCTGCAGAATGAAGAATCTATTTTTGATTGGAAAAAACATGGGGAACAGGGAGCAGTGGATTAGCAAAATGTCAAGGCCACAGAGAGCAATTTTGTTTTCTTCTTTTCCTACAATGAGCAGCTGTGGTTTATCCCGTGGAAATCTAGATTTTAAACACAATACGAGATGGAATTATCCATTTCAAATTGAAAATAAAACTACAGGTAAAGAGAGAAAAGAAGATATTTTGACTGTAATATAAAATGGACAGGTTAAAAAGGCGTGAGGCTGAGTTTTACTGAGTTTAGTGTAGACAGAAAGTAAGCATCCCTTAAGAGGATTCAGTAACAGGCCGTAAGTTGAGATTCTGTAAGACATTACCATGTAGCTTAACTCCTTCAACCACCCGTTGCCGGTAACCACCAACTCAAAAGGTGATCCCACCTGGAAAAGAACATCTTGATTAATAAGCACGTACCCAAGAGCAGAAAGCCCATCAGATTATAGTTAACAGGTGAGCTGTAAATGTTACCTTGATGTTTTCATCTCTTGTTGTTAGCTGGAGGTACGTCTTAGTGGGAGAAGTAAACATACTATGAACGGCCATGTTACTTGTGCTTTCAAGAAAATAGGCCTGTGATGAAAGAAAAGGGGGTGCTAAATTCCCATCTTCTCTAATACTTGAGAAACGGTGCTACCTGCAGAACAATTACTGGAAGCCAAATGCACTTTCGCTTTTCTTCATGCAGGAAAAATACACTCCCCAGACATGGAAACGCCATCGTTTTATGGCTTACACTACAAAAGAACTGATAGTTTTAAAACATGAGAAAGGGTCTTCACCATCACAACCTAAGAGGAAAAAAACAGAGTCCTAGCTTGTTTCAGAAACCAGAGTATTTTGTCAGGAAACACCGTGAGAAGAGAGAATGAAATAGAAAAAGGGACCCTCTTCCTCTCTGCACAACGCAAAGATCATACACAAGCAAAAAATCATATCCCCCCACTTGATCCACCAACGTTCAGAGCAGAAATCAGAACCCATGGGAGGAGTACCCTGCTAGGCTCTGATTTGGGCGGGACTGAGTAACCAAAAGGAAGGGAGTAGAGATGGTTAGGAATTCTCAGCTGAGCCACTCTGGGAAAGACAGCTCAGCAAAGGCGTGCAAGTGTAAAAAAGACACAGTGCTCTTTCAGGTCGACCCCTGCCAACTTCAAATAACTGGAAATCAGCCTAGACTGGAGGTTTGAGGACCTTCTCCAGCACGTCTTCATATGCCATTTTTTTACTGTGCTGTTCAAAATGAACCGACAAAGAAACATTCAGTCTAACTACCAGGCACTATCATTAAATTACTTATAACAGTTCCCCCTTTGTTTTTTAAAGAAAAAGCAGTGTCCACTTCCTGTGCACTCTGAGCTCCAACAGGTTGAGGGCCTACCCCGAGATTACAATTGTAATGGTCTTGTTGTATGGAGATAGTGATGGGAGACAGGTGGCACCTTCAACTGCAGCTGGCTGGAATCATCCAGGACTGGGAACTCAACCTTGACCATTCCATTCTCGGGGATGGTATAATTGATGATCTGGATGGCTTCCCCTCTCTGGTTTCCCATGTTCCATTTGCTCCAGTGCTCTGTATAGTTTCTCTGGGTCACTGTCAAGACCATATTATTTCTTCTCTCTTCAACAGTCAGGCGGTTGCCATCAAAACGGGTTACTTTCACCTAATTGTCAAAACAAGACATTTGAAAGACAGGTAACAAGAGAAGCAAAGGATTTAAGTGAAAGTGGATGCAGTTTCCATCTGAACTGTTCCCATAAAATCGAACTCTCAGCAACTCTTGGCAGCACTTTAGCTTCCAGCCCCAGTGGCCTCTCTCTAAACGGCACCTGCTACTCCCACCACTCCCTTCTTAATATACTGTGGCTTCCTTGGCCTTGCACAGGTCCACACAAGCTCCTTCCTGTCCCACTTCTCTTTCTGAATCCTTTCAGCATCCTTTTCGGTTCCCCTTCCCTCTCTCTGAATGTGGGGATTTGTCAAGGCCAAATTATCAGTCACCTGCTCTTCTCTCTTCCCCCCAGGTCTAGTTCTCCTATGGCTTAGCTCAGTACCTCTTTGTGATTGTACCTCCAATTCAAAATTCCCATCCTCATGCCCAGTGCCACCAATTCCTAATTTTTACTTGGATAGCTTAGTCACCTTAATTTATACATCTAAAGTGGAGCGACCACCTGGCTTCTCCTATTTTTTCTAACATTCTGACTCTATCATTTACATCTCCCAACTGTCCATACCTCTGCCCACCTCCCAAACCCAGTGACACCAAACCCTGCACTTTTCCACCCTCTCCACCCCCATCAGGCAGCTCTCCGCCTCATGCCTGGGCTGCTGCCGTCCTGCTGCACACACCCCGAGCAGCCTTCCTCATACCCTGCTTGCACCACTCCACCCACGTTCAGAAGGCTCCTGAGCTTCTCACTGCCCAGAGCAGTTCTCAACCTGTGGGTCGCAACCCACAGGGACTGTATTAAAGGCTCACAGCATTAGGAAGGTTGAGAACCACTGGCCTAGAGCATAAAGATCAAACACCTAAGTGAGACACTTAGGGTCCCCTGCAACTCCCCAGACTTCTCCTATTGTATCACTCCCAGACACAGGCCCTCAGGTGCAGTGCACAGCTCCTGAGTACACCCTGCACTGGCCCATCAGAGCTCCCATCTCCTCTTGCTCCCCAACTCCCACCCACTGCCCAAGCATTTGAAACCCCTTACGAATAATTAAAGAGTTTCCTCTTCTATACAGCGTCCTGTCCTAATCACCACCCTTACCCCAAAGCCAGCTTTGCCTCCCTGAACTCCCATTGTGTCACTCCACACATTCAGAAATTACCCTCTGCAGCCTCCTGGAACTTGTTTGTTCATTTGTTTTTGTTTTTAACTTACCTATTCAAATTGTCTAAATAATTAAGATCCCTGGAATCAAGAACTACCTAAAAATTGCTCTTGACACATTCAACAAAAAGTGATCCCTTCTTTCTTTAAACCAGAAATCAACAAACTGTGGCAAGACAGTGAGCCAATCCATTATTTTCAAAAATCAAGTTTTATTGGAACATAGCCACGCTCACTTACTTACAGATTGGCTGTGGCTGCTTTCATGCCATGACGGCAGAACTGAGTAGCCATGACAGAGACCATATGGCCCACAAAGCTAAAAATATTTACTTTCTACCCCTTAGCACAGGAGAGTTGCCAACCCCTGCTTTAAATCCCATTAGAAATTAATTCATGCCACTAATCTTATTCTGACTTCAATTATATCTGTGTGTATATTTTCTTGTCAACATCACAAAAACTGTGAACTCCTGGGAAGGAAATGAGGCCTTCTTGGCTCCACGCAAGTCCTGCCCAGTACCATGCCTTACACATTTGTCAAAACGCATTCAATTAATAAAGTGTAATTCAACATTATCTCAAAAAGATTAGTAGATTTGTTGATAGTTTTTTAATGCTACATCTTTGCTAGAACTAAAATTAATCATTATAAAAATTTTTGACTACTATCTAATTCCTATGATTAATTAAATAAAACTTTCAATGTAACAATCCACATCTAACTTATAGGGCTTCTTAAAATGCATTTTCAAAAAAATACTTTTGTTGTTATTAGAAACTAATTTTTTAGAAAAATTAGACCAAGGTCATTTGGAAACAATTTTACAAGTCCCACATATCTAAAGAGAAAAAGTAATCTAATTCTTTTTGGCTTAAATTTTTAGAAAAGCACTGAAAATAGTTCCCACTGTGCTTCATTAGACTGAACTTACTGCTATGAACGAGAAACAACCGTATCAACTTACAGTGGCTGTAAAGTTGAGAGATGGCTTCAAGACAGTAGGATAATCAAAAAATTCAATGATGTACTCGTGTTGCTTGAAAAACACATTGGAGCTTGCATTTCTTGAGATGCCTATTTTGGAAATTACACATTTGGCATACAAATAATGTTTCACCAACAGTCTCTATCCGTCAAATCTCTCCGTCTAAACTACTTGCCAAAGTAGTTGAAAATATCAGGGCACGCAAACCTCATTCCCATATTGGCTTTGACACTAAGAAAACCACAGAGTCGTAGCACGTCCTCAGTGGACCCCTTCTCAGCACCACGCTGCCATCCTCCCCCAGTGAGGGAGCCACTCTTAGTCTTTCATTCTAAAAAAGGGATTGGTTAAAAAACTCTTGACATAGTACCAGAAAGGTCCTAGGAACTAACCTTTACCTTCTTATTAAAAGAGAAAACTGTGCTGGGAACAGGGGCTCACGCCCGTAATCCTACAACTCTGGAAGGCCAAGGCAGGTGGATTGCCTGAGCTCATGAGTTCAAGAGCAGCCTGAGCAAAAGCAAGATCTCTACTAAAATAGAAAAACTGAGGCAAGAGGATTGCTTGACCCCAAGAGTTGGAGGTTACTGTGAGCTATGACACTGTGAGCTATGGCACTCTACCCAGGGCAACAGCTTGAGACTCTGACTCAAAAAAAATAAAAATAAAAATAAGAGAGAAAAAACTGTCTAGGAGCAAGTTAGATTTTAGAAGCTGTTAAGTGATTTTTTTTTAAACAAACCAAATAAATAAATAAAGATAGCTGGCTGAAAATACAAGCCTGTCCATGTAGTCTTCAGGCTAAAAAGAACAGAAATGGAGAAAATTACCAGTAACTATCACCTGTGGTTGAAGTGCAGCCTTTTCCTAGAAAAGGTTTCCCCTTGATTATGAAAACATTCTGCAAGGGAGACCAGTTAACAGTCATGACACTGTCTACCTTAAGGGCCAGTGCGGTGGCTCACACTTGTAATCCCAGCACTTGGGAGGCCAATTGCCCTGAGCTCACAGGTTCAAGACCAGCCTGAGCCAGAGCAAGACCTTGCTCCAAAAATGTGGTGAGCACCTGTAGTCCCAGCTACTTGTGAGGCTGAGGCAAGAGAATCACTCAAGCCTAGGAGTTTGAGGTTGCTGTGAGTTGTGATGCCACGACACTCTACCAGGGGTAACAAAGTGAGATTCTGTCTTAAAATTTCCACATTAAATAGTATCTTTAGAAAGGTAAATGACACTCCCAAATGAAAACGCCAGTTATAAGAAAGATGTCAGAACAGCACCCCGCACACAGCTTTACCTTCATTTCACATCTACGAACCTGTAAGTGATTCTGTCACAGTTGCGAAAATTTCTACCGGCCCAGGGAGAGACATTTCCATGTCTTCAGAAAGGTCATTTGAAAAGTCCATTACATTTTTCATCTCTTCATCATTAAAAGAGAAGTTTGCAGATCCATTTATCTGTTTTATTTAAAAGTTCAATTTTATTTTCCACTTTAGCAATTCAAAGTTTAGAAATAAAACTCAAACTAAGTGACAGCAACCTGATGGCTCTGATGCCATTTTAATCACTATAAATGGGTAAATTCTTAGTTGCCCAATGCTGGAAAGCTCTTGATCTTCACACTTAATGTATCATTAATTCAGTACAAAATCTTATTTCTAGACAAAGCACACTTATCACAAGTTGTAAAACATCTGCACAAGTTACCTCAAATTTTTTTGTGATATTTTTCTTCACTCCCCAAAAAGACAAAGGTAAAAACGTAAGCGTTACATCTCCTTTCACTGGCTTCCCATATGTGTACCTGAAAAGTAATATCAAGGCTTTTTTATGAGTACATATCAACCTGACATTGTCAGAAGAATACGATGAAAACATTACATATGCTGGTAGGCCAACATAAATGAATTGCATTAAAAACATACTCATACTACAAATTTTTGGAAGTAAATCCAAAAAGAATAAAAGTAAACTTCAAAAAATGATGATCCTTGAAATTAAGTCTCCAAAATGGGAAGTCTTTTAACCTTACCTTAAAATAATTCGTAATACTTACTTTACCTGGCTTCTAGACATCTGAGAGACCCCAGACAAAATATGATCATAATTGGAAGTGACAGTTTCCTGCCCAAAGATTTTTAAAAGATCATGAAAATCGTTCATTACTAGAAATCAGGATTGGCCCATTTATGGCTTGCACACAAAACTGTGCAGTGTTTGAAGGTTTTCAAATGTTAGCTGAAATTGCCATGGGCCACTGCTGTGTGTCCCAACATTATTCAGAAGGGTTTATTGGACCACATACTGTGGAGCACCAAATGTACTCATGACCATCATAACTTAGCTTTTACAGAAAAATTTTAAATAATAGTAATAATTTAAATTTAAAATAATAATAGTGTTTAACCCATAGTATCAAATGTATCCCCTTGAGTAAAATGTCGTTTAACTGTAAGTAAAAAGTAGCTCACAGGTTCTAGACTAGCCTGAGCTAGAGCAAGACCTCATATCTAAAAATAGCCAGGCATTGCGGTAGACCCCTATAGTCCCAGCTACTTGGGAGGCTGAAGCAAGAGAATCACTTGAGCCCAGAAGTTTGAGGTTGCTGTGAGCTAGGACACCATGGCACTCTCTACCTTGGGGGTGAGAAGGTGAGACTCTGTCTCAAAAACGTCTACTTTCCCTTCTAGTTATTCATGTTGTCCCTTTTCATGATGGCAAAGTTTCTTCATATGGAGAAGAGGCAATCTTTGGTAACCATTTTTCTACTAAATAGCCTTTTTTTTAAGTAAAATGCATTTCCTTGGGCAGAAGCAGTGGCTCATGCCTGTAATCCTAGTACTCTGGGAGGCTAAGGCAAGAGAACTGCTTGAACTCATGAGTTCAAGACCAGCCTGAGCAAGAGCACGATCCTGTCTCCAGTAGAAATAGAAAAACTTAGCCAGGTGTTATGGCAGGTGCCTGTAGTCCCAGCTACTCAGGAGACTGGGGCAGGAGGGTTGTTTGAACCCAGGAGTTTGAGGTTGCTGTGAACTAAGCTGACACCACAGTACTCTAGCCTGGGCAACAGAGTGAGATTCTGTCTCAATTGAAAAAAGAAAAAAAAAAAGCATTGCCTTGTTGCTTTCATCTCTATGGAGAATGCTGAGCCAAACATGGGAGTCAATTTAGCTTTGCGCTCTCTAAATCACAGCAGTCTGCTTCCTGAATCCATTAATTCAAGACAGAAACGGCCCCTCATCTGGATGAACCCAATACAGAGACAAATATTAAAATACAATACATTCTATATTAAGAAGAAAAAAATGAATCCGCCTTCAAACGCACCACTCTTTCAGAGAAGAACAGTGAAGTTAGTGGAGACCCTGGTTAGGAACTTTAGCATCAAATTCTGTCATTCAAGAAGCTTTGAAACCTGATTTATATTACTCGTATCTTGTTAAAGATTCATTGAAAGCAAAACTAGAATGACAGAATACTATATTTTACTGAGAGTTATATCAATAAGAGTACAAGGAGCTTTAAAATTCAGACATAACAAAGTATTCTCAGACATAAAAATTTTTAATTTTTATTTAAATGTGAAGCAGATTTAGCTTTCCAGGCACCAAGTTCATTATAAGGATTGTGAAACAAGGATGCTGACAATTACTGTTCTAAACAAAATCTGGAAGCATTTGAGATACATCAATTATTCATAAAATAATAGCTGGCCAATATTGTTAAAAGCAAAGATATTTTGGGATAGTATCATTAACAAAACAATTTTTTTCTGAAAACATCCATAGAATAAAAGATTTATGAAACAATATTTTAAAAAGTGAACCTATGAGGACAGTTCATGCTTTTCCCACTCATGTTTTTTTTCACTTTATTTGCAGGAGGATGCAACTATTTCAAGTCATCAAATGATAAATATATTTAAGAAACCCCCTCCCCTCCCTTTCCACTTTCCCCATATTCTTGAGCTATAATTGGGTTATAGCTTTCATAGAAACCTTAAATATTTTTTAAAGTCTATTATTCCCTAGGCATTATGAAAGTATTAATAGATACGCAATATGTTATTTTCTTTATAATTAATATGCTATTTCCCTTGGAAGCCACCAGATTGGTCAATGGAAAAGAGTCTATTATTTATTTTTAATGATGTATAAATAATGAAATGTTCACATCCAAGCTAATAAATGCATAGTTTTATTTTTTTATATACTTCAGTTAAAGATATCAAAAACACTTATTAACTTTCTCCTCAGAGAAATTTCTAGCAATGCTCTGCACATTAACTACAGCCTTGATGAAGCAGATGGTTACTAGCAAGGTAGTACCTTACTATTTATCATATACTCATGGAGAGGACTATAATAGCCATTATGAAATAAATATTTACAAAATCATCTCTATAACTTAACAATCATTTGAATAAGACCATAGAACTCATCTTTCACAATACACCACACAACAACTTGATTTCAGGAACTACTTCCTACCCCCTAATCTGGCAATGAGATCAAATCTATTGCCTTACAGTTCAATTTGGTTCATTCCAGTGATACTGTAAGATACATATTTGATCTTCATTCTGTTTCCTGGCATAAAACCCCTAAAATCTTTGGACTCTCCAAAGTGATAAGTGCCTTATCATAATGAATCAGCTGGAGGCTGGCGCCCCTAGGGACCTTCAGGATGGAGCTCTCAATGGAAAGACCAAAATGAATGATTAAAGGGTTGAAACTTTCAACCCTACCCTCCAACTTCTGGGGAGGAAAAAAGGTTGAGTTTTTTAACCAATAGCCAATGATTTAATCAATCATGCCTACATAATGAAGCTTCCATAATAACCCAAAAGGATGGGGTCTGCTCAGCTTCTGGATAGCCAGAGATTCCCAGCGGGGTGCTCTCAGAGGGCCTGGAAGCTCCATGCTGCTTCCCACAACCCTCGCCTGACGCAGCTCCTCCATCTCTTCATCTATATCCTTTGGGATAAGCCAATAAACGTAAGCAAAGTGTTTCCCTGAGTTGGTGAGCTGCTCTAGCAAATTAGTCAGACCTGAAGAGGAGGTAAAAGCCAGTCACTCAGAAGCAGAGGTGACAACCTGTGACTTGTGAAGGGCGTGTGAAGTAGGGGCAGGCTGGGACCCAGAGACTAGAGGCCTCTGATCTAACGCCACCTCCGAGTAGATAGTTTCAGAATTGGTTTGAAATAGACGACACCTAGTTGGGGTCTGCTGCAGAACCGGTGGGGGGTTGTTGTTGACCACACACTTCTTAATGACCAGAGGTCACAGACCTCTCCAGGGTTGATTCTTGAGTGAGAGTACAGGAGAGACTGAGTTTGTCCTTTCCTAGACCCTCATACCTGTAAATGGCAGCCTTCTGATGTGGTGTGAAGACCTTTGCTATGCTACACTCTGCTTAGAACTGAATTCGTACGGTCATGCTGTTGCTGTTCATCCATTTGTTCTTGAAATGCCGAAGTCAAGAACCACTGGTCAGAGAAAGCACTTTGAATTCTTATTAAAAGCACAAGTGAAATGTGAGGGTAGAGTTTGTGATGACAAAGAATGGTCTGCATGATGTGTTTCATATGAATCTAGAAAAGGACCCCACAAAATATAGTAAAGAATTGGAAATTCACCCTCAAGACAATGGTCTGAAAATTGTCATACAAAAGAGCAAACGGATAAAAGAGGAATTCAACACAGAATAGAGAAAAGATTGGAAGAGGTGAAACTGAAGTCAGGGAAAATATTTAAGAAACAACAATGGAAGTTGAGGAGAGAGATGATGTTGGCCTGAATCAAGGGAGAGGTGACGGAAAATGGTGGATGATTAGAGAGAACTAAGGAGAGAATCAACAGCACCGATGCCCACTGGCCATGGACACTGAGGGAGTGGGGAGAGCAGCTGACTCCGGCAGATAAACGGGTGGTGGTGCCGTCCACCACGGTAGAGATGCAAGAGAAGAATCACATTGGGGGGAGATGATCAGTTTAAAGCATCTGTGGGACACCCAGTGGGAGATGTCTGGTAGGCAGCAAAATGTGACGGTCTGAATCTCGAGAAAGAAACGTGGGGCCGGAGGTAAAGATTTAGGTATCAAATTATAAATGGCATCAGATACCTGGCCATGGAGAAGAAAAATCTGAGTAAATGGAGAAAGAAAAAGGAGCTCCCCAAAGTTGGAGCTCAGAGAAACAAGAACTTTTAAAAGATGAACAGAAGAGTTACCTGCAAGGGTTTCAAAGGAGTAGCCAAAGGGAAAGAAGGAAACCAGAAATGATGGGAGCGGACAACAATGTCAAAGGCACAAAGGGAAAAGAATTGCCAAAGCCTTAAAAGGTACCCGCGGAGATGGATCAAGAAGGAAGTCTTTCTGCCCTTGGTGAAGACGGTTTCAAAGACGCTTGTGAGGGAGGGCAGGCTGACTGTAAGGGCTGAAGAATGAATGGAATGTGGATATGGGGAAAATGCAGCTCTGAAGAAAAGGTGAGAGAGAGAGGAGCTGGGAGGAGGCACGGGGGTCAAGGAAGGGTTTGGAGGTCAAGGAAGGGTTGGCTTCTTTTAGTAACACAATGATTAAGCGCAGAGAGAAGACTGCCCCCAAAGAGCAAAAGGTGAAAAAGATACTGATGGACGAGGAGGAGCCACAGGCAAGAGAGGGAGTGGGCGGGGATTCTCCCACAGGAGCAGCAAGGCCCAAGTGGAGGAACTATCCTCTGAAGGAGAAAGAGAGGTCGCTTTCCTCAGGACGGTCAGGAGCAAGGCGATCATTTCCACCTTTCCCGGTATGCGGTATTTGTAGAATAGTATATGCCAGTATTTACATGCCAATTTTTATAGGCTGATGAAAGAACTTGCAAGTCAAAATGATTTCCTTATTCTTGCAAAGCTGTAGATTGTATTCTCAGCCTGATTCTCCACTCTGGAGACACCAGCAGACACTCCGGAGAATGCCCTGGTAGGCCCAGCTCTCAGGACAGCTGGGGTGAAAAGGGAAGGAGCCTGGGCCTTCTGGGCGGCAGTTCCGCTGAATTCACACAGAAGACACGAGCCTCCTGGCACAGAAGTGAAAGGGAGGCACTGGACCGGCAGAGATCTCACGGACCACCGAGGCTTGTAGGAAAGGTCTTCATTGGTGGGGGAGGGAGGCTGCAGAGCAGCACCAAGGAGGAGAGAAAAAGAGAAGAGAAGAGAGGAGAGAGAAGAGAAAGAGAGAAGAGGAGAGAGAGGAGGAGAGAGAAGAGGAGAGAGGGCGAGCAGAGAAGGGGGGTTGGGGGGTAGAGAAAGAGGAGAAACGTATCTTATATAGGGAAGTCTCCGAATGGTGACGGGATGGTGGGATAACCAATAAGGAGTTACTGCTCCAGTGGAAAGAGCCGTTTGGGGCGGGCAGCAAGTAATTGGAACAGGGTGATGAGGTAAGTGGGCCATTCCATGTGCTTGGGAAGGAGTTGTAACCTTAAGAGCAGGAAGGGGCTTTCTGGGGAAGGGGCTTTCTGAGGCAATTATCTAGCAAGAAGAACCACCCTCCTCTGCCCCACTGTGAACAACGTGCGGGCAGCTGAGGGCTGCACAAGGAGCTTTCACAGGATGGACCTGCTCAGAATGGAAGATCATGAGAACTAGCCAGATCCAAGGACTTTAAATGGCAAGAAGGAGCCTCCTCGCTACCCACAACAGACAAACTGTGAAGGCCTTTCAGTGTAGGGCTACACAGAGCTGAAGTCCACGGAAACATGCTAATCTGAGTGTGAGGGTGAGGTGTCTGACAGCTGTGCTCAAAATCCATCATCAATTGACTTTCAGTGAAGGAGATTATGCTAGATAATCCGAGCATGTCTGATCCAATCAGTTGAAAGGCCTTAAAAGCAGAGCTGAGGCTTCCGAAGGTATAACAGATTTGACCTGTGGAAGTAACTTCACCTGGCCTGAGAATCCCTCTTCCCCTTCCTGACGGGCCACCCTGTGGACTTTGGACTTGCTTAGCCAGCTCCATAATCATGGAATCAAGCCAATTCCTTGCAATAAATTCCTTCATATATGCCTCCCACTGGTTCTGCTTCTCTGGTTGAACCTAAACTCACACACACTGAGAAAAATGATGAGAATATAATATGGTGAACACTAAAGAAATTCCAGGGTTGAGCACAGTGGGTCACACCTGCAATCCCAGCACTCTAGGAGGCTGAGGCAGGAGGATCAATTGAACCTAGAAGTTTGAGGTTGCTGTGAGCTATGATGATGCCACAGCACTCTAGCCTGGGCAACAGGGTAAGATTCTGTCTCAAAAAATATAATCATCAGTTTGGGACATAAAGTTTTATAATGCCGACAGTCATAAGAGAAGAAAAATGATACTTACTTTGCTGTGACAGTACCATTTAAATTCTTAGAATTCATATAACAATATAATGGTGTCTGCAAAGTCACTTCAAATTTTGGTAACACTGGAAAATAAAAGCAAGGGTAAATCTTTTAAAGACTCCATTTTACTATCAGATTCCACTGAATAAAATAAAAAATAAAATTGTTCTAAAGGAGTTGATAATTTGTACTGTCTAAACTTAAATTCATTAGAATCCAAATACAAGTTAACACAGACAGGAAGCCCTTTGTTTCACCCAAAATTATAAATCCCTACTTTTATTAGTTTTACATAAAAGAAATATGAAAAATTTTATAAATACTAATACTGTATTTGACATAACATACTCCTGCTTCTTGCTTTTTTCCAGTCTATAGAACTTTATTTTCCTTTAACTCCACCCACTAAAGCAATTAAAGTCTTATAACAAGGTACCTCCTCATTTAATTAACACAACAGAAATATCAAAAAAGTCAATGGATCAGCAACGTAAGGCAGATCTCCAGCTCCAAGCACTTGAATGTGCCAAGACACTTCTGGACTCTAGACCAGGAAAACATAGAGGCCAAAAAAGTCACATGCGTCAACTATGGCCCCCCATGCAGGAACATTCAATTCCTATTCTTCAGGCATCATAAACTGGCAATCATGTCCCACTGCCACTACACCCCATTCAACAACACAGGACCACCCAGCACCACCACCATGTGGCAGGAAATTAGTCTATAAAAGCGTTGGCCCCTATAATTTATTTTTCTAGATTAAGTCTGTCCAAAGGAAATAAATGTCAGCCACACATATAATTTTTCATTTCTAGTAATCACATTAAAAAGTAAAAAGATTAGCCATGGTGGCGAATATCTATAATCCTAGCACTCTGGGAGGCCAAAGCATGAGGATGGCTTGAAGCCAGGAGTTCAAGACCAGTATGAGAAGCACAGCAAGACCTCTATCTCTACCAGAAAAAACAATCAAAAATTAGCCCGGAGCAGTGGCAGGTGCCTGTAGTGCCTATACTTGGGAGGCTGAGGCAGGAAGCTCACTTGAGTCCAGGAGTATGAGGTTGCTGTAAGCTCTAAGGATGCCACTGCACTCTAGCCCAGGCAACAGAGGGAGACTTAGTCTCAAAACAAAACAACAAAAAAGGTAAAAAGATGCAGGTAAAATTAATTTTGGAAATATTTTACTGAACCAAATACATATCTAAAATACTAGCACTTTAACGTGTAACCAAAATTAAAAATTATCATTAATAAAGTATTTTTTTCTTTCTTTCTTTTTTTTTTGTACTAAGCCTTCAAAATCTGGTGTCTCTATTTGAATTAGCCACATTTCAAGTGCCCACTCCCACTAAATGGTACAGTTCCAGATCAGGGTTCAGCAGACTATGAGCAGAATGAGTTAAGAATGGTTTTTACAATTTGAGGTGGGGGGGGGCCTTAAATAACAGACATTTATGTCTCACAATTCGGGAGGAAGGGACTGGGATGTCCATGGCCAGGGTGCTGACAAATTTTGTTTTAATTGGTTGAGTAAAATCGAAAGAAAAACAGTATTTTATAAGACATGAAATTCAGATGTCCATGTCCATAAAATACAGTTGCCGGCATCATGGCAACATTCACAAACATATTGCCTGTGGCTGCTGTCCAGCTAATAGGCACAGTTTGGTCCTTACCACGGAAACAGAAGGCCCATGGACCCTCCCATCTTACTATCCGGCCCATTACAGGAGAACACTTTGCTGATCCCACGAGAGTCAGATCGAACAAAACCATGTGACATACATCAGCCTGAGCCACAAAGGGGGAAGCAAAATACTTCCAGATTCCTGTTACCAAAATAAAACAAAATCTCGAAAAGGGGCACAAACCAAATGAAAAAGCACGTGTGTGGCCTCAAAATAACTACGGAAATGATAAACGAAAACAGCGACCCCACGCTTTAACGTTTATCCTTCCACTTCTTCCACCAACAAAATAGGTGGGCCCCATTGTTTTTATCTATGTGTCCCTAACTGCTCTATTATCACCTACAGAAAGGATTTCGGAACAGGACAGTCCTTACGAAAAATACGGAAAATGCTGTGTGTTGCTTTTTTTGAAAGTACAGAATTCTACATAGCTTACCACAACAAAGTATAAAAACAGAAAAATTGTGCATAAGACCAGCATCATGTGGCTAGAAGTGTTACTTTTCCTACTTTTTTCTTCATAATCAGATTTTACAGCTTTTACAAAGGAAAAAACATACTTAGGCCCATCCTATAAGGAACACAAGGACTTTACCTCCATTGGAATTTTTACTTCAAATAATAGACCCCTTGAAAATATCCACTAGGTCTTAGGAAAGTAACAAATGGTTTTTTGCTTTCAAAATAAGTTGAGGGACTCTTACCATATTCTGAAACCTGAAATGACTGATAATATAGCTGGTCCTATGGGACAGAAGAAAAAAAAAATAAGAAAACATATAAGTTCTTATTTGATTATTTTGCTTGCTTACTTACCTGCATAAAAGGGTTTAGAAAATTAATCTTTAAATTACATTTACAGTGATTTAATGAACAGAATAGTTTATCTTAACTTATGAAAGTTTGGTTTTAGTCAACTGCACCACAACAGCTGTGAGAGTTCATGAGTTTTTCTTAACAATCCACTAACATAAAAGGTGACCTGTCTCTATAATTCATCGCCAGTCATTTAAACAAACTGCTTAATCTGACTTCCATCACTTCTGAAATGAGAACCAGATTAAGTGACTCAGAAATTTTTGAAACAAGGGTAACACACGTCAACTAACAAGAAATAACTTTAGATATGTTTTGGCTATTCTTATCCAAAACCAGTGGAAAAAATAAAGTTACACACAATTCAAAGATTTGTAAATAATCAAGGACAAAAGCTCTCCATGGACCAACATCCTCCAATTTTCCAATCCCTTGAATTATTGGCTAGTCTAACTCTTAAGTCAATACATCTTACCCTGTTTTAACAGGTACTGTTAATCGTTTCCCTTTCCAAAATCAACAAGAGAACACGTGGCCTCCGAGCGTGTCATTTTTCTAACTTCTCTTATTCTAATTGTCCTTTCTAAATCAAGGTAACAGTAAATAGAACCTCTCCATCTGATTCCACTTGCGGGTTGGAAAGATAATTGTTTTTAAATAATTAATTAATACCTCTCCAAAACAGCTAAGTAATTTCACTAGTGAACTTTGTATTCTAAATTTGATTGCCTAAATTTATCAAAACAAACACATCGATTCAACTATTAAATGTTATCTCTTCTTTAAAGGCACCCTTAGTTCATCTACAGCACCACGAAGTTGTTTTTTGAATCCTAAGAGAAGGCTGTAATTCACTTAAAAATAATAAAACAATTAGGTAAAATAATTACATGCTAACCAAAACAATGCCTAAAACTTGGCCACAGTGTTGTCATTTAAAGAAGATCCCAAGGAAATTGTGCTGCCTTGATCAAAGTGCTAAGAAGGTTCACGTTCGTGACTTCTATCTTAAATTGTTTTCACATCACATGCAGTAACATCATAAATTACATGTACTTGATTCATTTACAAGTTCTAAATTATCATCCTCAAAAAATTTAATCGACAAGGTCATTTACCTGTTTTGCTGATAAACATAGTCTTTAGTTTTTGCTTTATGACTGAGGCCAGCACAGGCAAGACTGTGGAATAGTGGTGTCTCTGTCAGGTTTAACTCAAAAAGCAAACACTGAGTTAAGTATTAGATGCAAAATGATAAATTACAGTCCTCAGCATCAGAGAGTCTAGTGGTGGAGACAGACACAGCCAAGACCAATAATGTCAATGCTTGGTGTTGCTTTTTTCGAAAGAGCAGAATTCTAAATATCTTACCACAACAAAGTAGAAAAACAGAAAAATTGTGCATAAGGCTAGCATCACATGGCCAGAGGTGATTCCCGCCCCTGGGGTTTCACGCTGTGTTCTGGCTCTTACTCTTCCCTATTCTTGATTCAAACCATTCCCACCCCACCCATATATTAGTGTTCCTTGAATCCCCAACCTAAAACCGACATCTCTGCCCTCTAAGCCCAGCTCTCCCTTCCCTGTCACCTGTCACCTTGTGGCATCAATATTTGGCTCAGTTTACTGCAGGTTCTTTGAGGGTCAAGTCCACACTGGATCATTTCTGAATCCCTAATAGCTTATCCTTTAGGGTGCCAATCTACCTTAATACCTGCTACAAAATAAATGCTCTATAAATATGGATTAATTCAAATAAAAATTACTAGCTTTCACCAATGTGGAAAATTAATTCATTTATTTAGGCTTAAACAACAGCCTTCAAATGGAGTTTTAGGTATGTAATTACTTATTTAACACACAAATAGTTACATTAGATTATATTTGAAATTAATATAACTACTCCCGTCTTTCCATTGATTATCTACTTCCCCTTATTCAGTCTGTACATGTTCTCAATCTTTTGTCCCTTGGTACTGATAAATATCTTTCTGACTCCTTCCTTCCTTCCTCAAGTTGCTCTTTCTGACCCTTTCCATCCTGATCCCAGCGCTATTCTCACTCTCCAAACTCTCATCAACTCTCATCTCATGTTTTTAACTCCCTTTGTTTCTTAATTTTTGAAACAGAGTCTCACTCCATTGTCCAGGCTAGAGTGCCATGGTGTCAGCCTAGCACACAGTAATCTCAAACTCCTGGGTTCAAGCAATCCTCCTGCCTCAACCTCCCAAGTAGCTGGGACTATAGGTATCCACCAGGATACCTGGATAATTTTTCTATTTTCTTTTTTTTTTTTTTTTGAGACAGAGCCTCAAGCTATCCCCCTGGGTAGAGTGCCGTGGCATCACAGCTCACAGCAACCTCCAACTCCTGGGCTCAAGCCAGTCTCCTGCCTCAGCCTCCCAAGTAGCTGGGACCACAGGCGCCCACCACAACACCCGGCTATTTTTTGGTTGCAGCTGTCATTATTGTTTGGCGGGCCCAGGCTGGATTCAAACTTGCCACCTTAGGTGTATGTGGCTGGTGCCTCAGCCACTTGAGCCACAGGCACTGAGTCAATTTTTCTATTTTCTTAATAGAGACAAGGTCTCGCTCTTGCTCAGGTTAGTTTTGAACTCCTGAGCTCAAGTCATCTTCCCAACCCAGCCTCTAGGATTACAGGCATGTAGCCACTGCACCCAGCCTTAACTGCCATTTCTATCCTAAGGATGCTAAAAATAATTATCTCTAAACCACACCTCAACCCAGAGATTCAGATTTCCCTCTGGACATCTCCACCTGAATGTACTACAGAATGTTCTGGATTTATTATCTGGACCCAGCCTTTCCCAGTGGCCTTCATTGATTGCCTCTCCCTATGTTGGGTTAGATGCCCTCTTCTCCCATAATATTCTGCGTATCGCTCAATCATTTTATTTAACATAATACACTATAATTATCTGCTTTGTGTCCATCTTTCTAAGATATTGTGACATCCTTCAGAGCACGGCACCCAGATCAGCATGCCTTCACTATCCGCTGAGTAAAGTTGTGTATAAATGAATAAATAAATGAATCTTGTCCCAGATGTTCATCAGATCAGCCTCAGCTAAGACAAAAAGACATTAAAATAACCTTCCCTTGAGAAGGATCAGATTACCCTGAGAGGCGAATTAGCCTCAGGGGAACCTTAATTCTCTGCCCTGAGTAGTAGGAGAGGCTGGCCACCCCGGAAAGCCAAAGGAAGAAAGGAGGCAAAGAGCTTCTTGTCACTGTCATTTCAAATTATTCCAATAAATCAAAAAATCATTTTGTAACCAAGCGCTGACAGTGTGCTTTGTGTGGCAGAAAGCCTTCCCAGGATAATTATAGGTGGTCAAGGGCAAATCAAAAAAAAAAATTATTTTACTGCCCAAGGGATTTCAAAAGCAGAAGTAAGTTTTGTAATGCTCAACATATTGTATATTAAACAGGTCATATCAATTTCACAATGAGTTTAGTTATATTACAAGGCATTTTTACAAAATATTCCTACAAAATATATGTTCAAGTACAGAATATCGTGAAATATTTAAAATTAATAATAATTCAGAGAATTAGTATCCATTTGTGCCATAAACAGTCACAAAAGCACCGACACCAAGGACCTTCATAAATCTAGAACAAGGATCAGCAAATTTTCCCTATAAAGGGCTGGATGTAAAACATCACAGCCTCTGTAGGCCATATGGTCTCTGTCACAACTTTTCAACAATGCCCTTCCAGTGCGGATGCTGCCAGAGCCAGTGCGTAAACAGATGAGCCTGACCACGTTCCAAGAAAACCTTATTTACGAAAACAGGTGTCAGACTGGATTTGGTCTTTTAGCTAGGGTCTGCTGACACCTGGTCTAAAAAAAGAGTGAAATTTATTTTCAAATTGTCCTCATTAGTGCTAGCTGAACTAAACTTTTAAACACAGGAGAAAAAAAAAAGCAAGCCTTTTGTAGGAAGTACAAGTTTCCTTGACTGAACAATTTTCTTTCAGTTTCAAAGGAACTTAATCTGCTTCAAAATAAGTTTTTGTGTTTATTGAAGCTCATCAACTATGCTTTATGCTGATTCATTCTGCCAATAACTGGGAAGAAAAGCTAACCTGAAGGCCTAAATACTTGGGCCCTGTGTCTTCTGAGCAAATACCTCCCCAGGCAAGAGAGGGCAGAGCTCGCCAATGCCTTCTCAGCTCTTCATTCCCCAATATGGTCAGTATTCCACGGGGTAAGCTCTTCTTCCTTAGAGAACTGGCCCCGAGCACATAGGAGCATATCCCCTCTCTGTTGTTATTGGATGTGAGCCTGCCTCGATTAGATTTCTCTAAACAACTTTGAGCACAGAAGTGGAAAACCAGAATCAGTAGGTATTCTCAGCAATCTCTGTAACTTCTCTAATCTCTATCTCTAAGTCAATAATTCATTGCGAGGGTGTATGCTCCAGAAATCAGGGGAATGAGGGGGAATAGGGAAAACATTGCTTTTGCCACCCTTTCAAGTAGTCTGCTATGACTAGAATACAAATCGGATCCGAGTAAATCACCAAAACTATCTATTCCAGTGAGGGAATTTTCCTCCTCTAACTGTGAAGCCATCCAACTCTTGAGTTTCCTTTTTAACAAGTTTGTAGGAATACGGCCGCTGCATGAGCACTAAAAAAAATACATTTCAAAATTCAAGTCACTTTGAACTCTCGCTTCTGGAATACAAAGAAATGCCAGAAACAGAACTGAGTGCCGGGTAGACTATTTCTGTCTGTACACTTTAGTTCAAATTTAGGATCATTTCAATTTTCTAACAGTTAGCTTTAGCACTGATCGCCAGTACCTGGGTTTACTTTTTATTTAAAGGTTAAGAAAGGCACTGACTTTTGTAAACCTGCACGTCACCATATGTTACAAGGGAGCTATTTCTGACTCAG